GGCCTAAATAGTGGGTGTGGCCCATGTAGTTGAAGGGGGCCTAAGTAGTGGGTGTGGCCCATGTAGTGGAAGGGGGCCTAAGTAGTGGGTGTGGCCCATGTAGTGGAAAGGGGCCTAAGTAGTGGGTGTGGCCCAAGTAGTGGAAAGGGGTCTAAGTAGTGGGTGTGACCTGGATTGTGGATTTGAGCCTAGTAGCGGCAGTTGTCTAGTAGTGGGTGCAAATCGTATTCTTTACTGTGTAAATTAAATATTACCTGCATGACATTGACAAAATCTTCTAGTCCTATAAACAATGAAAATAAAATGTTAGAAAATCTGAAAGTATACTATATATCTTGAAACTATCGAAGGACAATAGTAATCTATGTTTCAATGTCTGAGAAACTGTAGCTGTCGGTGTAGTGTCGAACAACAATGACATTTAAACACAGACACAATTCATTGTGGCATTATTTTTAGAATACGATAGAAATGTAATTCAACTAACCTTTTCCTTCGCCGGCATGAGGACTGCCCTATTTTGGAATGAATGGTAATTACATATTCTTAGCATAAGACAAATATATATGTGGATATAGTTAGTAGTTGGGAGTACTGATAGGGTTTCGGTGTGGAATGTCGAAGGCCAATTCTCCTTTTTTGTTAAAAATGTATAGGACAAAATGAATAAAAATATCGGACAGCTTCAATTTCATTCCTGACCCAAAACTAATTCACTGTTTTTCACGCCACGTAACAAAAGAAAGTTTTTTTAATATGTTAATTAATCCTACCCAGAATTACGGAATTTATAGTTTCTTTTATTGTATTGTATTTATAAATCACTGGTCTGGAAGCTCCATGTATGAGTATGTATGAATACTGAAGCATTCCAGACAAATTCCCCTTCATTGTTTTTATCCACTTTCCAGTCACGGTGAGATTGTACTGCGAATGATATCTATCGGAGGATATGTGTTGGGTATTGTGAAGGTTATATTTGAACTCTTACCTGCAGTACATGTTCAATACGAATCCAATCTACGAAATAAAACAGACTACAATAAAGTACATACGGTCAACAATAAAGTCAACACGGTAACTTACTTCCCGGCATGCATCAGTAGTATTTAGGATAATCTATAAATGGGCACCAGTCAAGATAAGGGGCGATACAGGATGTCGGGGGCACGCCTTTACAATAACGTCATATATATATATATATTAGCAATCAGAACTGAATACTGACCTTCCTTTTCCATATTCTTAACACGAATCTGTTGATACAAGAAAAACAAAGTGTTTGCGCCATCTTTTGTGGAATAATGAAATATTACGTTTGCCTTTGGTTGTGGCACTCCTTACGGGTAAACTTGAAATCAGCCATAACGAAATTTTCTGTTTTCTGGCTAACTGTTATACTGGCTTATATACCACAAGGTTTCGGCTCATGTGCCGCAACATCTAGCAGTTCGTGACAAAATTCAGAAGTCTGGTTGTCGAAAAATTTAGGCAATACGTCAGTCGTTCGTAGTGTTGAACGAGTATAGGAAAATCATTTGGCAAAATGTGATACAGTTTTACAGGTAGAACAGTAGCGGAAGTGTGTCTGTGAGTTCGGAGCGGGGTACTACGTGAGTGAGTGTATATGCAATAGCCAGCGTGACATATATAAGGTTACATCCACTTTGGCGCAAATGGACAATAAATTAATTCATTGTAACCACATACCAATACTCAATGTTATAATTGCCACTGACACAAAATACCATACAATAACGAATAAATAATGTAAACAAATATTACTTACGTCCATCGATTCAAATAATTCAGCTAGTTCTGAAAAGATTGCCAAGAAATAAGATTAGAGAAAATTTCTCATTCAAGCAAATAAAATTACAATGTATTTAGTGCCGTTTATGACAAGTTGTAAAATAATGACGCTGTTCCTATGTTCAAGAATTTGCACATCAAACATCAAAGTGATCAATTGTATTTGATTTAAAATATTGGGATTAACACAGTGATAGAATATATATATTTTAACTTAATTCACCTATAAACTATCTATCTTACATTATGTATATAATCCGATTAAAAACTTAAAATCTTATTTTTTTTTAATTTTCATATTTTTCAATTGTTATTTTGTTTATAATTCTAATATATATATATATATATATACATTACATGACGTTTCCATGTCATATTTCGTATCCGAGTTAGTAAAATGAAGACATTGTAAATGCAATTATGCTTTATACACAGACCTACCTTCTCCATGTCCCAAATTTGCGGCGTTCTATACATAAAAGACAGAACATAGTAAATAGTCAACGCTGTAAACTCTAAATATTATCTTTTGCAATCATACATGCAAATATATTTTCATATTAAATGATCTTTATGAACATATTCCGAATATTACATCTTCTTGTTAAACGATCGATTACAACACCTGGCCATAGAGGGCGTGTGTACTTGACTCGTTCTGTTGCTTGTTGCTTGTCTGATTATAATTTGAATGTTGCAATTTGCATATATAGATGTAACAGCTTTCACTTACATGCATTTTAACAGCCATTTTGTCCCAGGCTGAAAACAACATAATTGTATTATTTAGAAAACATAAGAACGCACTTGTTTACGCATTGCGCGCGTAGTCGTCCGCAGGAATGGATTCCTGGGCGGTTGACAAACACCGCGCCGTCTATCGCATCCTAAGATATATTTGTTTGCGTTCTTCCTTGCTACTGTTACTGCCGATGGTTAACAATGTCTAAGCAGATTGTGAGCCACCCCGGTTCGCGCTCAATAATTTTGTCAAACTTGTAGAAGCTGGTGGTCAATAATGTATAAATATAACGTCACAGCGTGTCTACCTACAGTTACACGTCTAAAACAAACGCTGAATACGAGCGCATGATTTACCCTTATAAGTAGCGCCTCTAGCGACGAGGACGAACGAATAATCGAAATTATTTGATTAAAAACGAGAATTCCAGTGAAATTCCACACATTGACGATGCAATATTGTGTGGTAATGGTAATAGTTCGGTAGATGTAAATTTCATATGCATGTGAGAAATAATGGGCATAATATTGACAGTTTTATGAAGTAGCAGCCCGTACTTCAATAAGAGTATGATAAACAACGTTCACAAATACATGCACATAGTATACACAGGAAATTGCTAGTTGTCTAAAAGCTATAGGAATTGCATTTCTGTTGAATTGTTCAATAATGAATTTATTGTTTATTACAAATGCACATGTTTTGCTTACGAACCCACTTTTCAGTAATTTTTGTGTTACCGGTATAGCAACTGGTGAATGGAACCTCAAGGTATTATAGCGGTAAATGAACACTGTTACTGTAAATATTGCTTTAAAGTCAATTTGAGGCGTACGAATTCAACTTTTCATTGTTTTTTCTAACTCAAAGAGAAAGAACAGATCCAGTATTTTTTACAAAGTAGAAAATAAAGTTATTCTTGAGCAAAGACAATACAACGATACTTTCAACCCGCGAGCTGTAACATATGTTATTTTAAATGCCTTTCCCTTATAGTTACGGCAAATGTATTTTACACCAAAGACCGTGACCATTCTACATAATTATGCTTAGCAAAGACCAACACAGCGAACACGTATTTTTTGTTCGTGATCCCATATATCACGCACATCATCAAACACATGCATTAATCTATCTATCGACCCATGTACAAACCCACCCGCCCATCCACCCATCAATCTCAGGTTATTGGCAAACTGACCGTTTTCTTTGCGCTGGTGTCCATGTCCATGTACATGCACATGTCTATGTCCATGCTGCGTGAATGTCAAATAAAAAACAATTAGCTTTGAATTATTTATATTTGAATATATACTAGTATTTGATTTTTTTTTCTCTACACAAAATTTGGTTGCAAACGTTGCACATCCGTCATCTTAATTCGATTATGCATCTGATTAAGAAAAGAAAAACAGCTGCCAGACTTTCGATAAAGACGTGGCCGGCATTCTTCAGTTTGTCATCACCAACCGATACAACTCCACTTTCTCAAGTACAATATCTCAGTAGAAGATATACATACTAAATCATTAATTGTGAAGTATTAGAATTGCGCCTCATTTGGACAAACATTCTATTACAATAAACTAAAAGTAGAAGTGTAGATGTGAGCAAAGTGGACCCAGGTTGATGAAATGTTTTCATGTGAACACGTTTTACCTTGTTGCTGTTGACGTGCATTGCAAATTCTAATAATAGGAATATTAGTAATGATGATGTAATAACAAAACTGCTTTGACGATTCATGATGATACCTTGACTCTGAAAGGAAAACAATCCAGTATAAATATAAAAGTGGTATACGATTAGTTTAAAAGACGGCTTCATTGGCCAACACACCATTCCTATAAATAGTGCCCTCTAGTGGTAGAGTTTTTCTGTGGTGCCAAAAAGGTCGAAGGCAAAGTCGTTTAAATGGAGAAATGTGTTTAATGGACGACTTCATATGAGCGGCCTTAGGAATCTCTCAGTTACTACTTCGAAGCCTTTGGTAACTCACGGGAAACGTTATGCTATTTATGAGAAAGTACACCATGTGTGATTCGAACTTGCAACTATGGCAACAATGGCTTCCACTCACTGCAGTCACCGGGCAACTCAAAAATAATACCCGAGTTTATTCCACACTGAGAATGCAAGCGTACAAGGCCAATGGAATGCACATTGGTCAGAGGGTGGTCAGAACTCTAATACAATGAAAGACAGTGAAATAGTGAGTACGACCTGGTACATGTACACGAATATATAAACTTCTTTATTTATTCAACTGATTATTATTTTACTCATATTAACCCATATTTTGAGAACATATATGACAAATATTGAGGCTGATCTTTTATTTGGTGAGTTTATTAGATTCTATCAGGAATAAACGCTGCTTAATTTTTGTGAGCCGACCGAATGAAAGGCAATGAACGCTGTCGTCCAACGAAGCAATTAGTGCAAAATGTGTTGTCATATATTAGACAGAATGACAGACAGAATGTCAGATAGATATAAAGAAAGACAGATTTGCATACATACCTTATGAATACCTTTAATTCAAACACGATCATGTATTTACGTTGATAGAATTTAACTCGTTATATATCTAATATTAAATTGTAATATACATGCAAAGAATACATGTTGTATATATGTCAGAATACATGAATGCCAGCGGCTAGATGTCTGTCTCCCAATACAAGGTTTCCTAAATATCGGTAAATATTTAGTTTGAATGACTCGAAGAGGTCATAATTTACCGACGTGCAGCCGAGGTCATCAATTTCTCTGAATTGTACCAAATAATAAACACAGCATAAACCCGAACGTTGGAGAATGTGGCGGAATTTTGTTGTATAGCTTGACACTGCGCATGCACAATAAAAACTTCGAGATCACTGGACCTCCATTAACTCCAAGTCAATAATGAGTCTTATTATACTCCATATTCAAAATTACCACATTGATTGGTCCGAACACAGTCACATAGTGAATAAAACTCAATAATAAAAACCGAGTGACCTTAATTTCATTATGACACATGTGAAGTAGTAGTGTTTACAAAAAAATGTCGTCACGGTCTCAGACGGTGTATTCATTTATTCACTATAATAACACATATAGTTACCCCGGTGTAAGTCAATATGCAGTTTAACCCAGGGACATTACTGACATTATTGACCACGCCTACGCCTCGGTCAATAATTTCCACTTCAGGTCATTAAAACTGAATATTGACATTAACATTAATATTTGCCCATTAACAATATTCCGTCAATACACAGTAGGAGTATTTATTAAGCAGTCCTTTCATTTTCACCAGTACCTTAGGTTCACAAATATATAATATATAGTTGTAATCGGGCATCAAAAAGAGTAATCTGAAAATCATTAGATGCGTCATTATTGTGCTTATTCATCGTCGTTTTTTTTTTTTTTTTTTACAAGTGACCGTGTTCTAAGTTGTGCTCTGAATACTCAAATACACTGCCACTAAAAGCAGTGCTAATTTGTCGGAATGAACTGTTCAATCACACAACTATCGCTATCTGCACAGTTCCAGGACAGTGTCAAGGGAAATTCGTATTAACAGTGTTCTGTACCAGTATACATTACACTATATAATCCATGGATATAACTGTCTATTTTTATATTTATATGATGATCATAACAAAATGGCGAATTGACTAAATTTAGCTGCAGTATTTGGAAACACAGTAACATTAACAACAGAATAACATTCTTGAATCAAATTATTGATATTAGAAACACAGTTCACAGAGTCCGACAACTGATTTGCTCACTATAAGAGCCATACCACACGCACGTTTGTCATTGGTCGCGTGAAATGTCTTGATTGGACGCGCTTGGCATACAGTTTTCGATCAAGCATTCATTGTTATACTGTGAAACATACCTTCCCGATTTTAACAAGTTTGTTCTCCTAGGTACACTTGTAGTGAGACGCTTGTTATATGGATTGGTTACGATCTCCACTTCAATATGCAAATTGAATTTATGCAAATTTAAATCCGATTAATCGTAAAAATACATACATATCCGATGGTTCTCTTAGCAAATGAGTATGCCGTGTTGGATGGATTGGTATATAGCAATGCATACTAAATGTGTAACCTATTACACGAGAAGGCACGGCAAATTTAATTGTCATTACACAACAACAACATAGCGAAATGAATAACTATAGTCAGCTTGATCAATATACCATTTTATGCTCATTGCGAGATCCCGTGTTATGCGTGAAAACAAACAAAGGTCATATCATTATTGTGACGTTAAAACATCGCTTAGGATTTGACAAAGTATTTGTTTGATGATGGTCACTTTTGATGAAGTAAGGATATCCCAGCGCTATATTCTACTCTTCAAAGCTCAATATTTTGACATTGAGCTATAAGAAAAAAATTAAATTCAAAAGCTAATCGCCCAATTTTTGCGACAGACGTTTGACCCGCGTTTTTAATTCAATACTCGAGATCTCACAGTGAAGGGAAAATTATTTAATCTTAATTCAATTCCATTTCTGTGGACGTATATGTACTCATTTTCTTCCTTGTTATATGTATGTATACACTGAACATTGTTATAGACTATGTTTAGACTTAATACGTGGCTGCAAATTGCAATGTGTTTGTATACAAGTTAAAATAAATTCTCAAGTAACTCAATTATTCAAAGATATGTTTGTTTTTTTCAACTTGTTGCCTAGTCAATGCTAAGTTTCCGACCTTTCAGGCGACATTCCATCTCGTCACGCTAATTTTGATTTTTTATGATTTTTCAAGCATCTTTTTTTTACAAGCAGCG